TCCCATAACATCAAGCCATGTTTGAAATATTCACAAAAACGTTACCTCAATTTTATCTTGTAATAATACAGCTACCAAATTATACGAATTGACAATGATGGTTCACACCATTACATGAATCAAATGGCATTCATATTTGTTTGTCCTATAGGTTGTGTCAAAGGTGGCAACATTACAAAAATATTGATATGATGTACGAGACCTAGCATCAATCAAAAATAAATTAGTTGCTCTTCCATCTTCATCACATTGTATCACATAATAAAAATAAGGATTTTTAGCTCATTTCTTTTAAAAATATTTGAGGACATATTGTACATCACCAACTTCTAACTCGTCAAATTAAGGAGGAATTGAACTTGAAGCAAGTACCATGAATCATCAAACTGTAACAAATATTGAATGAAAACAAAAATTGGAAAGGAGATTAAAAATAAATAATTTCCAATCCTTAACCGTATTTTAGGTTGCGACTCTTCAACCTGGTTGTGATGGCGATGAGAGAAAGCCGATGAGAAAAGAATGGGGATGGTGGTTTTTTTTTTTTTCTTGTTAGGGAAAAAAAATGCTTCTTTGGTGATTTTTAAAACGTAATTAGCGTGTTTTTGGATGTGGGGATATCAATTTTTAAGTGGTTTAATATACTTGATGAAGATCGTTAGATTAGTTTAAATTTAATGGTTCAAATTATTTGTCAAAATTATATGTCGAAAACAATGGTCTGGCTAAGCCCCTGTTTGGTCCATTCGAGGTCCCAAACCTTTGAGGTCTGTGACGATGGGATCCTGAGTCTTTCATTATGGTACTTTAGGTCTGCAACCTTTAAAAACTACGGGCGCTTAGCCCTTTCTGGCTGAAATCATCAGTTTTCCTATTATAATGTCAAAGCTTGTGTTTAAATGACTATTACATCCTTATTTTAAACCTATCTTTCTTTAAATCAGTTTTTACTCCATGCTATGCATAGGTTAATTATATTCACATGACAAAATTTATTTGTTACAACTAATTTTAGTTGCACTTAAAGGTCGCCAACCTTTGATCATTATAATATTTATGTCCTTTTAACATTTTTTTTTTGTTGAATTCTTATATTCTTTAACCTTCCATTAATTAGTATATTTCAGCGTCGAAGATACTCGTAAAAAAATTTGTTTGTGCACTTTGAAATGAAGGAAAAAATTACTTAAGTCACACTCTCACATTCATTATTTTTTTAAAAAATATGATGAACTATATAAGTCATTTTACGCCATCCTAATGAATTGTTTGGATGGAAACAGATATGAGTTATATGAGGAAACAAATCCCTTTTCAAATTAAACTACTTTTCTCATGTGATTTTAGTCATTTATCTTCTAATATTGCAGTTAAGTCATCTTCATTCTAAAATCATAATAGTTGACTTGAAACAAGTTTCAGAGCGTACAATTTAGTCCTCAAACTTTCTAAATGTCGAATTTAACTCTCGAAACTTATAAATTTTTACCGAATACTTTCAATTGATCTCTTGCAATTTAGTTAATATTATTGAATTGATTCAAATCAATTCCAATTGAGCTCCAAATAGCCTCTTTCAACATAAATTGTGTCCAAATTGGAATTTTCGTACAATTAACACACTTTACACATATTAAGTAGATTATTGCTCAATTTATTATATATATAAATAAATAAGAATAGAAGTCCGAATAATCGCATCTTATCATTACCGTTTCCTTTTGATTCATTTATTTTTGAAAAGATCATTTTATGTTTCTGTTGGATATATAATGATTTTTTCTATGTTCCTTTCATTTCGATTCTTTTTTTCTTCTATAATACTGTTGGATATAGTTCAATCTTTCTTTCATAACATACTATTATACTCTGATTTCTTTCCTCCCTAAAGGTCTACTTCTAGTCATTAAAGTTCAAACTCTAATGCATAACTTATGTTATGCTATTTCCCTCAGAATCAAAGTCATCAATCACACATAAAACTAAGGCAATTAACCAAAGAAAAGTGTACGATGATATGTTTGCCCAAACAAAGACAGCCACAATCTCACATTGACTGACAGAAAACTCTACCACCAGTCAAGAATCCAACAAACCGAGAACATAACTCGGTTCAAGGCACTAATCTTAATGGCTAAACCACAATTACTCTAGATTACACCTCAATCTCTTCATCGCAATGCACAAAGAACAATATCCACCAAGAATTTTAATCAGTAAAGAGAGGATAGAGAAAGTTGTTGAAGAGCCTTAATTTTATCAATCCTCAATGAGAGACAAAAGCCCCTTTTATATTCTTCAATGGACCTGTCAATGCTGATTTTGACTTGCGGAATCCATTGATAAGTAGAAATCCGTACATAAACTCTGAGTTGAATATCCTTTTGTGGCAGAACCTTTGATAATTAAATAGGAAAAAGCCTCAATGAGAATCTTCATGTCTGTTCACTCCTGAAGTGTCTTAATCTTGGGATTTTCAATCTCGTGTGTAGGTTGGTCTTTGTGAACTTGCAAGTTTCTGCATTCTTCGTGAACGTTGGCAGAAATTTGTATTTTTTGACTTATATCTAGGCATAATCTGACATCCGAAAATTTCACAAGTCTTGTATGAATTTTGGTGAAATTTAAGAATTTGGCCTTTACTTCGTGTAAATTCAAATCTGAAATTTTTGTTGCTAAGTTTTGGTCTAGGCCTTGGAAAAAACATATAACTTTGTGTTATAACGTAGGTTGGGGTAGATCATGATGATGTCTACTGGGTTCGGATTAGACTTGTTCAACGGGAAATATGACTTTCCCATTTGACAACATCAAATGGTAGTCATTTTAGTTCAACCAGAGGTTGATAAGGCTATAGACAGCAAGTTTCTGACCACTTATAGTGAGAATAAAAGGACTGAGGAAGATGGATTAGCTTACATTTCTATAATAGGTGATAATGTATAAAGAGAAAGTAGGTAAGCTAGACAACACTAAGGCTTTGTGGGATAAACTAGAAGAGTTGTACATGGTTAAGACTTTACTAATTAAACTTTTCTTGTTAGAGAGGTTTTTTATTTTTAAGTTTGACCTGACTAAAGACCTAGGTGAGAGCCTACACGTGTTTAACAAGTTGGTCCAAGACATCACCAAGTGTGGTGAAAAAGTCTCGGACGAGTATAAGGCTATAATCCTTCGAAATGCCATTTTTGAATCCTTTAGGGAGGAGATTAAGAATGTCATTGAGTATAGCAGAGACACCTTAATTCCAGATATAGTGATTAATTCACTAAGAAGTAGGAAATTGGAATTCAAGAGTGAAAGAATTGAAAATCAAAAGGTGGAGGGGTTAATGGCATGAGGTAGGTCCACTGTGAAAGGACAATGATGATGAATCCGGAAGGAAGGGTACAGGTAAAAATAGGTCAAGAACGAAATCTGGATCTAAGTGGAGAAAGTGCTTTGGGTGAGGTAAGATGGGTAATTTCATAAGCGATTTCTATCAAAAGAAGAATGAATATAAGGATAAGCCAAATGAACAAAGTAATGTAGCTAATGGATCTTCTAGTAATTTAGGAGAAGTGTGTTGCTCACTTAGTAATTTGGATGGATCCTAGACTCTGGATGTTCATTTTATATGACATCTAGGAGGGATTGATTTATTTCTTTGATCAGAATAGAAGAGGGATAGATTGTTATGCACAATAATATCTCCTGCAAGATTGCAGGAATCAGAACTCTCTCACTTAAAATGGAGAACGATATGGTACGTAACTTTGAGAAAGTAAAATATGTACACTAGCTAGGACGTAATATAATGGGAAGTTTGTTGGTGAGGTATTTAAAGTAATGAGAGGATCCATAGTAATTACGAAAGGCATTATTAAAAATGGGATACTTGTCATTAGGGTGGAACTGGTATTTGGTATAAAAGGTTAAGACGTATTAGCTTAAAGGAGCTGCAACTTCTTGAAGCACAAGGGGTGTTTGGAGGAGAAGTAATAAACAATATAGCATTTTTGAGCATTGTAAGATGGGTGAGCCACATAGGGTGATTTTTAAAGTAGATATACAATGTTTGGACTCCGTGTTAGATTAATTACCTACATGTAAACCTTTGGGAAAACACTTTAACACCGTCTGGATATAGGTTTTTCTTTTCCATTATAGGTGATTTTTATAGAAAAGTGTTAGTTTTCCTTTTAAAGCAAAAAGTCGAAGCTTTAATGAAGTTTAAAATTTGGAAGTCAGAGAAAATCATTTGGGAAAGAAAGTAAAAGCCTTAAGAACCACCAAGGATTTAGAGTTTAGAGTTACAAACAAGAATTTGATATTTTTTGCAAGACAAATGGCATAATTGGGCACATAATGGTCACATGTACTCCGCCATAAATAGAGGTAGCTGAGAGTATGAATAAGACCCTTAGAGAAGATTGGGAGTATACTAGATAGTTTGGATTTGACTAAGTTTTTTTGGGGAGAGGCGGTAGTTACAACTTACAACTTGCTACTCATAGATAGATTGCCCTTTGAATGCCTTAGATGATAAGACACAGGAAAAGACGTGGACCGGGATGCCAGCCAATTATGATAACCGTATGGTGTTTGGTTGTGCCACCTCTACACACCAAAGTGAGGTGGAGTTAGGATCGACATCACCTAAGTGTGTGTTTCTATGTTATCCCGAGGGACTACGGTTGTGGAATAAGGGGTTGAAGGGTTATAAGATAGTAATAATCAAGGATGTCATTTTTTTTTTAATATCAGTTTTATTTAATAAAACCTTACTTGTGGCGGAGGAATACCGTGATTACAAAAATCGATCGTTGACGCTCCACCAAAAAACCAACCTTATCATCTAAACGACAAACGCAAAAAACTATGTTTCACCATGAACAAGCTAAACATGACAAACGAGAAAACCAATCGAAAAATCAACTACGAATATAAGGTACTCCAAGTCGATCTAAACGGGCTAGTCCACGAGCAACTCTGGGTAGCTCCATCTGCGAGGAAAACCTCTATGTATGACCTTTTGCACCTAATTTTGCCAAAGAATCTGCCACTTGATTACCTTCCCTGTATTGATGCATTACATGAACCTCAAAAAGCTGAATCAAACCCAATAGCTCTTCCCAAAAATCCCACAAATACGAGACTGTGCACTTACGGTTTTTTTAGCCAATTAACAATAATTAGAGAATCACATTCAAATTCCAGAGCACAAGCCCCAAGTTGTTGGTATACCTTCAACCCTTCAATAATAGCCCTCAACTCAGCTTCTGTATTAGTAGTCTCCCCTAATTGAGATGTAAAACCAGCCATAACCATCCCAAACTCATCCCTAATAACACCACCACAACCCGATGGACCAGGTTTCCAAAAACTACAACCATTCACATTAAGTTTTACCCTACCTGATATAGGCTTCCTCCAAGTGATCATACGAGTTTGCCTTTGCCACCCCATCACACATGGAATATTCAAATTAGACAAAATTCTAGCATCATGAGAAGAAAGAACCTTAACCTTATTTATGGAAGAGGCCATCTGCTGCAACCAGAATTTTATAGTTGTGATTGCTTCCTCAACTGATTCATACTTGCCCTCCATTCGAGCTCGACACCGCCTCGCCCACAACCACCAGGTAATTAGACAAGGAAGCACACCAAGAAGACAGCCCAGCTGTGTAGATCACTCAGCCCGAGCCCACCATAGTTGAACCCCCTGCTCTAACCAACCTTGTTTACTTCTCCATCGCACACCTAAATGATGCAATATTCTCCTCTAAACTTCATCAGCAAATTCCCCTGTGCTCAAGACATGATCCCTGGTTTTTTCATGACCTACAATACAGCAGTTACATCTTGATGCAATAGCAATACCCACTTGACGGATACGAGAATCTACACTGAGGCTCCCTGATAAAGCTTTCCACATAGCCATTGACACCCACTTAGGAATAGCTTTGTTCCAAACCCACTTGAGCTTTAATTCTAAGCATATCCCAAGCACTTCTCGAAGTAAAGATGCCATGCTTTTGTGGTTTCCATATCAAAATATCGTGACCCGGCATGCAAGCATGAAGTTTTTGCATAATATTACCAGCTACCTCTTCTCCAACTAGTTCATGCAGCTTCTCAACATCCTATCTGAATTCCAAACACACATTCTGTATTCTTAAATCAGGCTGGCTAATGTTAGTAACTTGGTAGCATAAGGGGCCATTTGGCATCCAATGAGAAAACCAAAATGAGATTTTTACTTTCTTGACCTTCCATTCACAATTTGCAGCTACCTCAGGTAAGACATCTACAATAGATTTCCAAAATTTAGTTCCTCTTCTACTCAGTGTAGAAACATCCACCAAGCCATTTTTTGTGTATTTAGCTCTAAAGAAACTTGCCCATAGAGAATCCTCCTTCAATAACTTCCATGCAAACTTCATATGTAGAGACCGCTGTACCTCCTCAAACCTACGAAAACCAAGACCTCCTTCAATCACTGGTTTACACATCTTCTCCCAAGCAACCCATTTTTTCTTTGGCTTTCCATTCACCTCCCCCCAAAAGAAAGATGATAGAATAGTGTTCAAAGATCTAAAGACAGATACAGGCACGTGCATTACTGATAGTAAGTGTGTTGCCATAGAGACAACACATGTCTCAGTAGAATGAGACGATCGCCTTGTGATAATAACTCCAACTTCTAGCCAGCAATTTTACTCTTAATTTTGTCCACCAGCCCTTGGAGATGCCGAGCCGTTAATCTGCCCAAAACCACTGGAATCCCCAAATACGTAAAGGGAAAGGATCCCTCATGGAAGGAGGTAATCCAAAGAATCTCGCCTTTTTGTGCTACTGTGCAGTTCTTGGATAGAAAAATAACTGAATTCTCTCTGTTTATCAACTGTCCGGACATCCTTTCATAACAAGCAAGGTTTTCATAAGCTCCTTCATGGATTTTTTTTTTTACTTCAATTAGCAAAGATTACAAGATCATTAGCATACAATAAATGTAAGACCAATGGTGCACCTCGAGGATGAGAGAAGGATCCAATTCGACCAGTCTCAAACTTCTGTCGTAACAATCGTGTCAACACCTCTTCCATAATAATGAAAAGATAAGGAGAGAGAGGATCACCTTGTCTCAGACCTCTAGAGGACTTAAAGAAACCCTGGGTCGTGCCATTCATCATAATAGAAAACCAGGGTGTAGTAATGCATTCTGAAATCAACGAGCAAAACTCTATAGGAAAGCCAAATGATCTTAAGACATGCATAAGAAAGCGCCAATCCACTCTGTCAGAGGCCTTATCCATATCCACTTTAATCAACACATTACCACCCCGAGTCTTGCCATTCAAGGACTGTACCATCTCCTGTGTGAGAGCGATGTTCTCAAAAATGCTACGCTCTGGTAAAAAAGTCCCCTGTTCTAATGATATGATCTTAGGAAGTAATATCTTCATTCTTTTCACCATTATCTTTGCAAAATTTTGTAAGCCACCGAGCAAAGACTAATAGGCCTAAACTTGTCAAAACTCGTGGGGTTCTCCGTTTTAGGAATGAGAACAATATGTGATGATGAATAAAACCTTGGCATAGTTTTTCCTGCAAAGAACTCGGCTGCTGCCTCCACAACATCTTCTTTAATAATCTCCCAGCAATTTTTGTTGTTTAAATCCCTACTATATTAAAAGAGCCAATCCACAGGTTACTGTTCATTTGTGAAGCATTTTGTCTTCCAATTTTATCCCTCTCAATTAATGTTTTTCTCATTTTATCCCCATCATTTACTGTTAATGGACTATTTTTTGCTACAACAGCCATTTTTGTTGACTAATTGATTTTTGCATTCATGTTAGAGAAAAATATCTTCTTTCCCATGTATATCAATTGTAACATAAATATTCAATTTCACATTTCTAATTTTATATTATGTTTAAATAAATTAGTAGCACGTAAAAAAAAGTAAAGAATACAAAAAAAAAAAAAAAAAAA